TATTTGTTTGTTTTTTATTATCTGCTTATTCTTTAGATTTTTATTTGCTTTCTATTGATGTGCTTTGTTTGTTTATTTTATTTTTATTTGCTCTTTATTGAAATGTTTATTTCTTTATCTTCTTTTATTTAGGTATTATTTATTTGTTATATATTTATTATTTATTATTTATTTATTTATTTATTTATTTATTCATTTATATTTATTTATTCTCTATTTTTATTTGCTTTTTATTGAAGTGTTTATTGTTTTGTCTCTTTCTTCTTTTGTTTGATTATTGTTTGCATTATTTTTTCTTCTATTATTTATTTATTTATTTATTTATTTATTTATTTATTTATTTATTTATTTATTTATTTATTTGTCTGTCTGTCTCCTTTTGTTTGTTTTTATGTGTAAATATCTTTACTTTCTTTGTTTTATTTTTTTCATCCTTCATTCCCTCTTGTTGTATTTGTTTTTATTAATCTGTTTTATTAGTCTTATCTCTTTATTTATTTATTTATTTATTTATTTATATTTTATGTAATTAATTAATCTACTTATTTAATTTATTTAATTTATTTAATTTATTTTATTTGTTTTATTTACAGACATCTGTCTTACCCCGCTTTGCTAGAGAGAATTTTGCAGCTCTTTATCGGCGAAGATGGTAATGAAAGACAAATTAAATAAATTAAATTAATTAAATTAAATAAATTAAATTAAATTAAACTAAATTAAATTAAATAAATTAAATTAAATAAATTAAATTAAATTAAATTAAATTAAATAAATTAAATTAATAAAATAAATAGGACGAAATAGGACAAAACAAACCAATGTATGATGTAATATAATTAAATATAAATATAAAAAATATAAATATAAATATAGATATAAATATAAATATAAATATAAATATAAATATAAATATAAATATAAATATAAATATAAATATAAATGATATATTTTGTCTCCTTCTGTCTCTGTCTTTATTTGTATTTATTTTTGTTTGTTTTCGTCTCTTTCTGTCTTTGTTTGTCTCTGTTTGTCTCTTTCTCCTTCTGCCTGTCTCTTTATGTTTATTTAACTTGTTTGTTTTTCTTTTGCTTCTTCTTTCAGAGGATGAGGCCGACAACAACAACAACAGCAGCAGCAGCAGCAGCAACAGCAGCAGCAGCAGCAGCAGCATCAGTTTATCTCAGGCGATGCCTGGGCTGGTAGCTTCTGTCTTTGCTTCTGTCTCTTCTTCTTCTCTTGATATTAAAGTATTTCGTTTGCTGCGCTATGCTCCTCCTTCATGGGGGGCACTGCATGCAGCAGCAGCAGCAGCAGAAGCAGCAGAAGCAGCAACAGGGAAAGACAAATCATCTTCGTTTATCATTCCTTTTGCAGCTGCTAGGGGGTTCCATCCTGCTGCTCGTCGTGCTGCTGCTGTTGCTGCAGCGCCGCTGCATCTGCTGCATCAGCACGCAGCAGCAGCAAAACATTACACCTCTAGCAGCAGCAGCAGCAGCAGCAGCAATCCCCACCTCCTTTTTTCACCTGCAGGGCACCATCGCGTTGCTGCTGCTGCTCTCGGAATTGAAAAGGCTTTCAGCAATTTATTGCCTGCTGCAGCTGAAGCAGCAAATGATAAACCTCCTGCTGCAGCAACAGCAGCAGCAGCAGCAGCAGCAGCAGCAGCAGCAGCAAGGGACCGCTGCAGCAAGAAGGATACTGCTGCTGATGCTGCATTAGGGGCTGCTTCTCCTATACCAGCGGAGACTCCTTTGCAGCAGCCAGGAGCAACAACAGCAGCAACAGCAGCAGGTACACCAGCAGCAGCAGCAGCACCTGCACCAACAGCATCATCTGCAGCAGCAGCAGCAGCAGCAGGGAGCAGAAGGTTTTTCTGTCGCAGCAGCAGCAACAGCAGCAGCCTAAGAGAAGCATTTCAACGGCATGGAGAAGCAGCAGCAAATAAAATTAGCAGCAAAATAGAAGAAGATAAAGATGAAGCAAAAGGAGACAAAGAGAGACAGGAAATGTATTATCTCCAACTCAAAAAAAATATTCAACGCACTCTCTTCTCTTTGTCTCTTAAGCTCAACGGTAATACATAATATAATATAATATAATATAATATAATATAATATAATATAATATAATATAATATATGTATGTATATATATGTACATATATATATATATATATATTTATATGCATACAGATATATGTATATATATCTATATACAAACATGATATGTGTATATCCATATGCATATATATATATATACATATACATATGCATATATATATATATATCGATAATAATAATAATAATAATAATATAATAATAATAATAATAACAAAGACAATAATACTATAACACTATTACTAGAAATATGTTAAAGATGAAGGGAGGGATAAAAATAAAGCTGAGAACATAATAAAGAGGTGCATGCATATAAAACTAACTTTTAATTAAAAAACAATAAAAATAAGATTAAATATATTTGTTTCTTTTATTTGTTTATTCAGCTGAGTTGCTGCATTTCTTAGTAAAAACACAAACTCCGAATTCTTTACTTCTCTTTCTTTGCCCTACAACAGGAAGGACAGGACTTGCTGCAGCTAAAGGTTTGTTATTTACTTCTTTGCTGCTGCTGCTGCTGGAGCTGCTGCTGCTGTTGCTGCTGCTGCTGGAGCTGCTGCTGCTGTTGCTGGGGCTGCTGCTGCTGTTGCTGCTGCTGCTGGAGCTGCTGCTGCTGCTGCTGTTGCTGCTGCTGCTGGAGCTGCTGCTGCTGCTGCTGTTGCTGCTGCTGCTCGTGCTGGTGGTGCTACTGCCGCTGCTGCTGGAGCTGGTGGTGCTGTTGCTGCTGTTGCTGTTGCTGTTGCTGTTACTGCTGCTGCTGCTGCTGCTGCTGCTGTTGCTGCTGTTGCTGGTGTTGCAGCTAGTGCTGCTGTTGCTGCTGTTTCTGTTTTTGCTGTTGTTTTTATCTCTTTCTGTCTTTCTTTGTTTTTTTCTGCTTGATGCTCTCTTTCTGTTTTTATTTTTATTTTTATTTTTATTTTTTATTATTTTCTTTCTGCTGCCTTTTTAATATATTTGTCTCTCTCTCTCTCTCCTTCTCTACCTCTGGGTTTTTCTGTTTATATTTTGTTTATTTGTTTATCTCTTTGTCTGTCTCTTGTCTCTCTTCTTTTTATTTCTATATTACCGTCCTATGACTTTCTTTATCTGTCTATATACCTTTCCCTCCCTAACCCTATGAGGTTTAGGCTTTAGGGTTTATTGTTTAGGCTTTAGGGCTTATTGTTTAGGCTTTAGGGTTTATTGTTTAGTGTTTAGGGTTTAGTGTTTAGGGTTTAGGGTTTAGTGTTTAGTGTTTAGGGTTTAGGGTTTAGGGTGAGTGTATTATTTGCATATATATATATATATATTTATATACATATATATATATAATTGTTTTTGTTTGTGTTTAGCTTTCAAGCCTTCTATGGGTTTGGGTTTAATAATAATATTCCCTCAAACAATTTCAGAGAAAACTCAGAAAACTCTTTCTTGTCTTCAATCTTCATCGGTGCATGCAGTGCAAGTTGCAGGTAAAAGAAGAAAAAAATAATTAAATATATAATTATAAACAAACTTCTTTTTAATGTTATTTCATATGCTTTATTTATTTATATTAAGCATTTAAATATATATATATATATATATATATGTATGTGTATATATATATATATATATATATATGTATTTATATGTATACATGTATATATAAACAAACAAACAAGATTTTATTTATTTATTTTTTATTCAACTCGCAGGCAAATGCCTCCTCTAAGCAATGCGTTATCTTCGTGTTTAGATATATACATATATATGTATAATATATATATATATATTTATGTGTACATATATAGATATATATATATATATATTTATTTATATATTACTTCTTCATCTCTCCTATTCTCTCTCTCCTTCACACACACACACACACACTCTCTCTCTATATATATATACATATATATATATATATATTTATATATATATGTATATATATGAATATATAGACGTATACTTCTATGTAAATGTATTTTCTTCGCTTTTGTTTGCAGTTGTTTGTATTTTTTTTGGTTTTGCATTCGTTCGTGAAGCCCTTTGATTTATTTTATTTTATTTTATTTTATTTTGTTTTATTTTATTTGTTTTAATTTATTTTAGTTTCCCCCCTTCATTATATTTATTTTATTTGTTTTATTTGTTTTATTTGTTTTGTGTATTTTATTTGTTTTGTTTATTTTATTTGTTGTATTTTGTTTGTTTTTCTTTGTTTTATTTTTTGTATTTGTTTGAATTTGTTTGTTTTCTTTCGTTTGTCTCTTCTTTTAATGCATGTCTTTTTGTTTGTTTGCTTTCCTTTTATATTAAATTATATTATATTATATCATATTATATTATTTTCTGTAATATTGTTTTATTTTATTTTATTTTATTTCTTGCTAATTCAGTATATTTATCCTTTTTATTTATTTTAATTTATTTTAATTAAATTAAATTAATTAATTTAATTTAATTGAATTAAATAGATGAGTTCTAATAAACTTAATTATTTTTTTTGTTTATATTCTTCTCAGGTAATTTCTCTGACTGTCAGGAGTTAGTATTAGGGGTTGTGAAGAGCAGCCGGCTTTATTCGTTCTTACAAAATGCAAATAGAAAAGAGGTGTTTGTTTCTCCTTCAAGAAGATTTCAGCAGCAGCCGCAGCAGCAGCAGCAGCAGCAGCAGCAGCAGCAAGGGGAAGCAGCAGAAGAGAGTATTTCAGTGCAGCAATCAGGGTTTCTTTCTCTAGGCAGCGAAACAGGTTCTTACGTACACCTAAACTCAACAGTGATGCAGCAGCAGCAGCAGCAGCAGCGGAGGAGGCGGAGGCGGAGGCTGCAGCAGCAGCAGCGGCGGCAGCAGCAGCAACGGCAGCAGCTGCTGCACCAGCAGCAGCGGCAGCAGCAGCAGCAGCAGCAGCAGCAGCAGCAGCAGCAGCAGCAGGCTGATGCGGGTAGAGCTCCCTGTCGTCTCTGCTGTCTTCCTCCGCATGCATTTATTCGCCTTTGTTTTTATATTTCTTTTTGGTGGTTTGTTGCTCTTAGATTGAAATCTTTTAAGGTAATTGAAATAAACAAATTAAACTCAAAGATATCTATGCTGCAGCAAACATGCAAATAGACACACCCCAAACAATACACCTCACCCAACAGCAGCAGCAGCAGCAGCAGCAGCAGCTGTAGCAGCAGCAGCAGCAGCAGTGGCAGTAGAATTAGTAGTAGTAGCAGCAGCAGCAGTAGCAAGAGCACCAGCAGCAGCAGAGGCAGTAGCAGTAGCAGCAGTAGCAACAGGAGTAACAGCAGCAGCAGCAGCAGTAGCAGCAGCAGCAGGGTCTGCTGAGGATGTGTGTGTTTGCTGCAGGCAGCAGAAGCAAAGGAGCTCGCTCGCGAGAAAGAAAGAAGAGAGCATGGATGTATCCTTGCTTCAAGAAATGCTTTTAAAAGCAGCAACAACTCTTCTGCTGCTGCTGCTGCTGCTGCTGGGGGCCACGGAGAAGAGTACAGCGATCACTCCATGGAGACAGAGACAGCAGCATCCGCACCAGATGCAGCAGCAGCAGCAGCAGCAGCAGCAGCAGAGGCACCCAACGTCCTTGTACCCTCAGGCAGTTTCAGTCTGCTGCTGGGTGCTCACTTCTCTGCTGCTATGGGGGCCCCCTTGGGTCGCCTCCTTCCGTCTGTCTCTGCTGCTGAGCTTGTAGGAGATTTCTTGCTCTCTCAGCAGCAGCAGCAGCAGCAGCAGCAGCAGCACGAGCAGCAGCAGCGGCAGCAGCACGAACAGGAGCAGCAGCAGCAGCAGCAGCAAGAAGTCCAAAACCCTCTACCCTCAAGCCCCACACATCGAAACACTAAAACATCAACTACAAACCACACAGCAGCAGTGCATGCAATTAGTAGAAGTAGCAGCAGCAGTAGCAGCAACCTGGGGAACCACAATAGCAACAACTCGGAGGCTCCGCAGCAGCAGCAGCAGCAGCAGCAACAGCAACAGCAACAGCAGCAGCAGCAGCAGCAGCAGCAGCAGCAGCAAGGGGGGTCCCTGCTGCCGCTCTTAGGGCGCGCATACTCCCAGGGGTGGGGCCCCGGGGGCCCCAGAGAGTTTCGATTGAGTTCTATTAAAGAGCGTAGCAACAGCAGCAGCAGCAGCAGCAGCAGCAACAGCAACAGCAGCATCAAGAGCAGGAGTAAGATAATGGTCGCCACACATTCTTTATCCCGGGGCTTAGTTAAGGCGAAGAAGCTGCTGAGGAGACATAAAAAAGCAGATGAAAAGCAAGAAGACGAGAAGCGGGGAGACAGCAGCAATATAGACACAGACGGAGACAGAGAGAATAAAGTAACAAAGAGCTGTAAGTATAAAGATATAATAAAACAGAGTTAATAATAAATAAAGAGAAAGCAAATGCAATAAAACAAGCACCAAAGGAGACACCAAAACAAACATAAACATAAACGTATTTCTTCTGCTGTCTTCTTGTCTTCAGTCTCTCTACTGCCTGCTGGAGACAGCAGCAGCCCAAACTCCTCCCCACACACTGAGTCCCCTCCACAGCAGCAGCAGCAGCAGCAACAACAACAACAACAGCAACAGCAGGAGCAGCAGCAGCAGCAACAGCAGCAGCAGCAGCAGCTGCTGTCTCCAGAGCTAGCGCAGGCCTTGCTGCTGCTACACGAAGGAGGCGAGCGGCAGGTAGGAATTGCAGAGTTGGTGCAGAAGCCGGGATCGAGGGGATCGGGATCGGGATCGTCTCTGCTAGTATCGTCTCCCCTGGGATCGTCTCTTCTGGGATCGTCTCCAATGGCACCGGGATCGACCCGTGTGGGGTCGTCTCCCCCGGGATCGTCTCCTCCGGGATCGGGATCGTCTCCCCTGGGATCGTCTCCTCTGGGATCGGTTACCGAAGTGGTGCTCCCAGATTTGGCTCTCGGACTCACAACGGAGACAGATGAAGTAAAGTTTATATTTTATATCTTTATACTATATATATGTATATGTATATATGTATATATATATATATATATATATATATATATGTACATATATATATATATATATATATATATATATATAAATGCATAAATAAATAAGCTTATGTTTGTATACTCAGTCACAGCTACATTATTTTTGTTTATTTGCCTATGTATTTATTTATGTAGTATTGTATTCATATGTTTATATGCTTGTGTTTTAGGAAGAGAGTTAAAATGTATAAAGCAGGTTATATACTTTGTTGTCTTTCTTTTTTATTTCTCTCCTTTTGTCTCGGCGTCTCTTCAGTGGTGTTGCTGCTGCACTGTCTCCTTTATCTTTCTTTTTTGTTTGTTTTGTTTGTTTTGTTTGTTTTATTGTTATTATATTTGCTGTTTTTGTCTGTCTTCTTTGCTATCGTTTAAAAAATATTTTTATATATTAATGCCTTCGTATT